ATTGTTGCAGTGTAGGTATCACCTTTCGAACTTGTAACCGATGTCCCGTGACATATACAGAGGACGGGAGTTCTCGGCTGTCAAAAGTTAAGAGCCACATTGCAAGGGTAACGTCTCTGCCCCCGGGCAGGAAAGGGCATAAGTGTCTACTTTGAGGATTGGGAGATCCTGGAGTTCCAGCTGTTCAAAAATGTCATTGTCACATGACTGGAAATTCTGTTGGACTATGGTATGGGGCAGAATGACAGTACCACTACAAGAATTGAGAGAAAGATGTTTTTCAATAGTGATAGTAGTAGTATCCATATTCGAAAGGAGAGAAAAATCATGAGCTTGGGTAGCATTCTGGACATGATAATGCGCATTACCGCTCTGAGAGATGAAATGAAATATCTCTACCAACATGACGCAGGAGCGCTTTGCCAATACTAAAGGTCAGAAAGGTAGGCAGAAGAAGAAGTCGGTCTTAAAGTAAAGAATTTAGTCCATTTGTGGTCCGAAACTGAGCGTGGGGAGGGAGTGCTTGACGTGTCGGGCTTTCCGAGGGAGAATGGGGAAGGTAACGAAGGAGCATCATCAGGAGATTGACGTAGCGTTTTAGGGGTAGGACCAGAGTTGGTCCGGGGTGAAATGGGGCCGGGAATTCAAAATTTGCCGCACCGTAGAGGGAGAAGCCGGGAAGCATAGTCAAAGGAGAGCGGAGTTCAGACAAATCAAGGAGTCAAATCGAAGCCCCGGTACCTGAAGCGGGTGAGGAAACAGCACCAGCAAGAGGTACAGGGGGATCAGGAGGTCCGAAGAGTGGTCTAAACACAAGGCAGGGGCAGAATGGGGTGCGTATTAAAAAGGGGCCCGGGGGTATGGGTTCATGGACTAGGGCTGCCATGGTTAGGTTACTCCTTTGCTTTTTGCTTTTAAGAACAAAAAGAGAGAAAAGAAAATAAAATAAAAAAAAGAATAAAAAAAGGGGGGGAGCAGGGAGGGAAAAGTTCCCAGGGGAATGAAAAAGGGGCCCGGGAAATCTCCCTCCGCGCCCAAGAGGACCTCAACACCGCTAGTAGCGCAAAATGCAGCATGGAACCCTGCCATACCCTACCCTTCATGCCAGTAAACCAGCAATCCGGGATAGCAACCTCACATCTGCTGAGCTACCTCGGTGGACAAAAGAGAGGGCGGCCGGATATCGCCCCAAAGCATACCCCCTTCAGCCACCACCCCCGGAATCCGAAAGGTGGGGTTCCAGAGATACACCCGTCGCCCGAAAGACACCCAAAGCACCCGGGATTCCGGAGGGATCGGACATCCCCAGGGAATCCAGATTCCACGGCAAACTACGCCACCCCGCCAAGAACCTCAACGGAATGGGATGGACCCCGGTGTCCTTTCCCCTGCCTAGGAACTAGCGCGCCTGTGGGAGAAATCCCAAAGGCCAAAAAGAGGAAGGGCAAAAGGGAGGGGTGAGGAGGAGGAGGAGGAATGGAAAAAAGGGGAGGATGGAGAGGATGGGATAGGGGAGGGGAGAATGGGGGTAATTAGGTTCGGTCTGCGGAAGAAGACCAACAGGGCTAATTCCTCAGACCAAGAGCCTCTTCACCATGCCAAGGAGCCCCCCTTGAAGAGGTGGGTTTGCACCAAAACTGGCAGAGGGGGGCAAAATGCAGTTATAATTACAATCTCACTGCAGCAGCACTAAGTACATTTACTATGCATCAGAAAAAAAACAATTTTTTTTTTTGCTTTCAAATTTATTAAAGCAACATGATTTATTCTTACAATGTCTGCAACAAGACCATAAAAAAAAAAAAGGTTACAATGAGATGGTGGAGGTGCCAATGACGATGATCAATACAAGATGAGTTAAAGAAGTTAAAAGAATGTGGCAACAGTAACAAAATGCTATAATCAAAGTTCACCACACTATGGTAGATATGACGAGTAAGCAAGCGACAATGATGAGTGGTCAATATCCTACGAGTGGAGAATAACAAAATAAATAATGCGACCCGTAGCAGCGCTAATACAGTCGCGTGTCCGTGAGGGCTGCCACGCCCCGCCATGATGGCCAGTCGTCTCTCAGCAATCAGTACACGCACTGTTTTCCTACAATAGTAAATTAGCACCTAAAGTGCACCCCTTATTGCTGGGATCTTTCAACAAATGCTTTAAGTATGACACAATGCCAACATTCAAATTTTTAAAGGTTGGGTTACTTCCCCCCCACAGTGGATCACATTGAAATGATAATTTCTAAGTACTTTTAACTTAAGAATGCCCATTTCTACTTACAATGACTGAAATAAGTTTCAACTAAGATAGTTCCCATATAAATAGTAAAAAAAAAAAAATAAAAAAAAAAGTCAATTAAAAGAAGAAAGTTTACACAAGATTCATAGACATACATACCTATTACAGTACATAATAATGTATGGTAGCAATCTATGATGATGAAGACCTATGTATGTACACGATATACATGTCACAATATATTAATGATCCACATAACTAATGTGCTGGAAGTACTGAGCGTCGGAGACCAACCAAACGAGGCAGGGACATCACTGACCCATAGCAACAGCTAATGGAGGTCAATGCGGCGACTAGCATCGCTAGTTGTCTCCGCAGGGGTGGCGTCTTGTATAAAAATATAAATATCTTTCTACTTACAATAACCATTGTATTTACAAGGCCCATAGCTCAAGCTACTGCAGGCCAAGGCCACTGTGACACTTCCAAATGGGAATGTGCACTGTTCAGCATGACAATGCTACAACACCAACACACTGGGCAGTGTGACAAAACCACATGAGCAACATAACAGGACAGTATTTCAACACTATGAACAAAGCACATCTGATAGTGCAGATATATAATACAATGAGCAAAACTTCGATCATATCTGTGGGTCCCGACAGACACCCTTAATGAGAATTGAACATAAATGCAGTGTAATTATTTCGTTTCAAACACTTTTTTGGTCTAGCATTTTTATCAGCAACCTAAGAAAATATGACTAAAAGAGTACTACACTTCATCTATGCTCATTTTCTTAAGTAATTAATGGTTATAATTATCTACATTTTGTAATGTGAAGAAGTGTCTACCTGTTCAAAATATAAATTTATTAATAACTAGTTGAATACAATCCAAGAAAGATTATCACAGATGGCCTTCAAAAATATCAATAGTTGGCACAGTCTGCACAAGGCTAGACTGCACAATTTATGAGCTTCTATTAAGTTACAATTCCAGACACAAAGTTGTGCCAAGCTTCCCACAAAACACCCGTGCACCAACTTGAAAGGGAGGTTTCGTAATTTAATTTTTGTAGATACTAATTTAATTCATAAGTATAACTCCCTTTCAAAATAATTCATGATGATACAACACCCTTGAAATATACACACATACACAAAAAAAAAAAAAAATAAAGCCATAATCGAGAAGCTCAACAAAAATGGTTTCAGAGTGAGTGGACTAGATAAGTCTGGAGGCAACATACATTGTGTGCACCTCCATAGTGAAACAGGGATGATCCTTACAACAAAACTAAGACCATGTAGCTGCTACACAAATTTCCTGAGCCACGTAATCACCAGGAGAGCATGTCAGTGGCAATTAAATTTTATATATATATATATATATAATATATATATATATATATATATATATATTATATATATATATATATATATTATATATATATTATATTATATTAATTATATATATATTATATATATATTATATATATATTATATATATATTAATATATATATTATTATATATATATTATATATATATATTATTATATATATATTATATATATATATATTATATATATATTTATATATATATTATATATATATTATATATATTATTATATAATATTATATAATATATATATATATATATATATATATATATTATATATATATATATTATATTATATATATATATATATATATTTATAATATATAAGCAGCTACAACATTTATATATTTGAGTAGTTTTCTCCTACTGTTTTAATGGTAAACCAATCATATAATATATTCAAAATATGCAATACTAATGGCATAATTATGCCATTATGATGAACATCTAATAATAACTTACTCACATTATAAGAAAGTATTGCAATCCTGTTGCTCAAAACTATTTTTTGGTTTAACAAGAATATCGTCACACTTTATCAGCACTGATGCAAGTTTTAGTATTAGGAAAATTAAGATGGCATCTAACAGTGCTTGTGCATTATAGAAAGCACTAATGTATCTATTACTTACCCCAATTTATAAAAGTATTCCAATCACTGTTGCTCAAAAAACTATTTTGGTTTCAAAAGAATATCCTGTCACCACTTTAATAGCACTGATGCAAGTTTTAGTATTAGGAAAATTAAGAGTTGCATCTAACAGTGCATTGTGATTTTATCAGAGAAGCAAATAATGTATCTGTTCATTTACCTTTTCTATTCCTGAATTATTACAAAGTAGCTGTTAATAGTGAAAGAATGCCAATATCAGGAGAGAAGGGAGGGGGGGGGGGGAAGACTTCATTATATACAAATAAAAAACAAAGATTGTAACAGTTTTTGTCAACCAAGGCATATCTTCAGGCTTGGAAGGCAAATTTTGATTAGTTTAACAGGTAGAGGGTGAACTGGCAAGATCATAATGTGTAAACACAAGTGCACCACTACAAATGCCCAGACTGGCAAAAGAAAATCATCCAATTGGCCCAATTCACCCACCCAATAATGTCACCATTAACAGTTTTAGTGCAGCAGTGCTTTATCAGCCCTCTAGCTTCAATTTATGAATTTATTTTTCATTCATCATGCACAGTTCAATGAATCCATTCCATACTGTATTTATATGAACAATATATTATGATAAATGTAGAATGGCTCATATGTCACAAAAATCACAGTAAATATTAATGGTAAAAAGGTTAATACTTAAACCCAGACCTACCAAGGAGTATTTAAAAAAAAAAAAAAAAAAAAAAAATTGAACTCATTAAGTTAGATATATCCTGGATGGTACATAATAAAACTCAAATCATTGGAGAGGATCATTTAAATCCACTCCAGGGATTATTGTGGAGAGAGCAGCCCGTACCACCTCATTCCACACCGACCTACAGAACAACCTGTATTTTTCCAGGTCTCCAATCTTCTACACTGAGCAACATCAGCCATACAGCAATAGCTTGGCTGTATTGAATGTTGTGACTCAGCTGGCTGAACACCAACATTAGATGGTGGTCAGCTCCAGAGGCGGGGCTGCTCTTTTGTACATAGATCATTCCTGTGCTCCAGTTTGGGGACAGCAGATATGGACAACAAAGCCAAGGGGGCCAAAAATACCACAGAGGATGTTCTGGGCTGTTGCATAGAAAAAAGTAAAACTTGTTCTTCAAAGCAATGATACTCAAGATCTTGCATATAATTCAACATTTAAAGTAATCAAATACCTTCGACAAACAAGGCAGTGACCCAGGCAACATCCCTACAGGTGGTAATAGTAGTAGGGAAGAAACGGATAATACTACAGTAATTATGAAAATAGAAGCACACATTTAATTGGTTTATAGTATACCTCATTCAAGCTTTGATAGGGGAAGGGGCAGAGATTAATGGCAGGCTATTGTCAGTATTAAGGAAACGTGTGCACACTTAGATGAGTTTTATACAAGAATAACAAAATTTTATCCTATACTGCAATACCTGCTGAAAAGTCTCTAGGTGAGACATGGAGCTACATCACTGAATAATGGGACATACCCTGATGCATTCCCAAATTTTTATTAGACTCTCTGATCATGCCTATAACGTATGCTTAAGGCACTAAAATTAATGTAGTTCTTGGATTAAGAGCCAAAAGATCCACCGAAGTTGAAACTTGAAGGAACTGCAGTTTGCTGGAAGTTGTAACCTGAAAAAAAGTTTTGCCTTAATCGTATGAATATTACTACAGTATAGTAAACACTCATCACAACTGTAATCAGTGTGCAGGGGTTTACATCTAAGGGTTATTTGGGGTGGCTCGGTTGTTCGGTTGACAAAATCATGAAGAGAAGCTTTTGAATGACCATCAAATCAAGACTCCATTAAGGTACAGTGACATAAGTATCAGTGACAAAGTTGCAAAGATGGGGGAAAAAAAAAATGAAAGCAGTAATGAAAACACATACATTACATGACAGTGACTGCAGCAGTGAAGATAGGTGAAGATGAGAGCCAATTGTAGTGTCAGTGATGCAAGATTCACATAGGAACAAAAGTATGCATTATTCTTATTATCATGGTTATTGTAGGGGAGGAGTGGAAGAATTTCAGTGGGGAGGTATTAAAGGAATTAGGTCGTGTATCTGAGAAAATCTGAGCGAAGCAAGGAGCAGCAGTAATAGTAAAGGATTTTGACTTCTGCCATAGGTATGATTAATAAACAGTCATTATAGAAAAAGTGTATAAATTCAAGAATTATGTGGATTAAAATAAGGGTGAGATATGATGGGGACTAATAGTAAGTGCTTACACACCTGGGGAAGAGAGGAATGTAGAGAAGATACATTTTAAAAGTTATGATAGAAGTGTTTAAGGGAGTGTCAAAATAAATTAGAAAATAATTACTTAAGGGGACTTAAATGCTAATGGGAGAAACTGTTCTAGAGGGTGTAGTAGGAAACTATGGAGTGCCAAGGGTAAGTAATAATGGGGGAAGGGAGGGCCTTTAATTTAACCATGTATAGAAATAGATTTGGTAATAGGTAATATGTATATTAACCCTTTGACTGTTACGGTCGTATTTATACGTCTTACAAGCCAGTGTTTCAGACGTATTAGTACGCCAAAATTCAAGCGGCTTCAAATCAAGCAGGAGAAAGCTGGTAGGCCTACATATGAGAGAATGTGTGTGTTCAGTGTGCACAGTATAAAAAAAATTCTGCAGCACGCAGTGTATGAGAAAAAAAAACTTTTTGGATTAAAACGCTGACTTGGAGGTGTATTTTCGTATAGTATTTATGGTTGCATTCTCGTTTTATTGGTCTCATTTGATAGAATGGAAGACATTACAGAAACAGAAATGATTTTGATTGGTTTCAAGAGTAAACAAATAACACCACACATCCAATACATGTCAACTGATGAGTCTAATATTCTTTCGCAAGTGTGCTATTATTATTTATACCATTTTTACAATACTGCAGTAGTCTGCATAACAGTAAATCTTCTATTTTTTGTGAGAATAAAAATTCAAAATGGAAAGCAAGAGTAATGTAAGAGGGGCCTGGAGACATGACTAATGAACAGAGAAAATGCTATTTTAGTGCCAGGAATGTCTGTCTTGTTTATTCTGGACCCTATTTTGAAATTGGTATCTTTTTTAATTTGTGAGAAATTGGTCAAAATGACAATTTCTGACAACTTTATTGGGTAGTTGAAATTGGTAAATGGGTGGTTTCTTGTATCGAATTGATGGAACAAAGGGAGTTCTAAAGAAATAGCTATGAGTTTGGTCGACTGGAACAACGGAACTGGCCGAAAATAGGGCTCAAAGTGGGTGAAATCGCCGATGCACATATACTGCCGAGATTGCTAACTTCACGAGAGCGCAATTCCTTAAGTTTTCCATCAAATTTCATACTTTTGTTGTAATTACCATTGGGAAATTATTATCATTTCATAAGAAAAAATTTTTTTTTGAATGTTCTGTGCCAAACACACACTTCCGGATTTGGGGTCGTGACAGTCAAATGGCTAACAAAAAGGGGTTAATAAGTATATGAGATATAATACAGGGCATGATAGCAGTTTGTCATACTATGTATCAGATGAAATGCTGCTGCGTAGACTTGTAAATGTGCATATTTTTAGAGGGGCAACATATATTAGACCAATAATTACTGTTACATTCAGCAAGAGTAAGAGGTAGATGGGTATAAAGAAAGTTGTAGGTGGGTAAGAAAGTGAAAGTTTGTAAATTAGAGAGGATAGTTAAGACATGAGGTGATAAGCAGAAAAATGTCCATTAAAGACTAAAGACCAGTTTAATCAAATTTGTATCATTCATTACCAAAAATTGTTGTAAACAGTTGAAGGCATCATCTCAAAAGTTACATTTCGCAAGTTCATTGGTTTTCTTCTCAACACTTCATGAGCAAGCATTGGGTAAAATTAGGTTAAGAAGAGTACAGCTAATGAGGAGATAAAGGTATGGGGTAGATTTAAGAATGCAGTGTTGTGTACACAGCAGAAGTTTGTGGGTAAGGAGCGTAGGTGCAGGAGGGAAGAGGAGTTACTAAGTAAAAAGGGTGGTTAGGGAGAAAAAGTTGATATGTGAAAGGTTTCTACCATGCAGAAATGATACAGAGGGAAGAGTATATAGAGAGCATCACTGTGGTTGCAGGGGTCATGTCTAAGTTCATGGTCCAAACATCGCCTTGCCTTTTGAAAGATTCACTCCCTGCTAGCTTTATGGGCCCTATGTACCAGTTCACTACTTATTTGAGATCATTTCACTTCCAAACCACTCAGACTAAAGGAAATACTTTGATATCCTTGTAGGTATCTATGTCTAACTTCCAACTGTCCCTGCCTCTAAGTACATTTCTCACCACAGTTAGTCCCTGACAATTCCTCTTATAGTAGCTCAAACCCCTTAGCTCTGAAACAACCATAGTTGCATATTTCAGCACTTCTACTATTTCAAGTGTGGGTTTCTTATTGATGCTGCATATTCCAAGATCAGCCTGGAATGATTCTTGCACTGGCACTGGTTTGCCAACAGGTGTGAATAATCAGGAATGGTTGCCTGAGAATAATCTCAGTAGTAGTAACCAGTTACCAGTAACCAGTGTACCAGTAGATGACTCACTACCAACCGTCTCTGCCTGAGTCACTGTCTGTATTCATATTGTGCTGACCACAGCAGTATTCAAAGACCCCCTCACATATGGGTACTGTGGGCGGTCAGTCATACGAGAGTGAGCAAGGAGGCAAGGTTACGGCTGTTTGGGCGCTCCCCACATTATCCGTAATTATACGTACTTCCAGCCTACGTGAGTATTACTTTACCCTATCCACGTGTTCGAATCCCACATGATAAATGGTGGCAGCGGTGGGATGAGGTGGTGACTCTCGCTGGCGCTCTGGCGCGCACTCCACTCACTACCCACGAAAGTGGCTTGATAAGCCACTATGCCACAGGGATGGTGAAGACCACTCTTAGCATCCAACAGGGAGCACAAAGCGATATGAAAATACTTCAGAGGAACTTGCGTGGCTTACTTCTCTCTCTCAGCTGGGTTAGAAGCTGGGTTGGCTGACTGGCTTAACCCATGAGAATGGCTGACTGGAAGACGTGTAACGATGCACACAGCACGGAGGAGCAGGTGGATGACAGGAGACAGGCTGACTGGCGTTCACTTCCACAGTCTGGCTTACTGACTGGCTTAATTGCAAAATCCGGGTCAACCCCTCGGAGATTGAAGCAATTAGCACACGAACTAAGCCAGGAAGCTTGAAACGGCTGCAACAGGCTTGCAGGGTGGAGGTTGTGAGGGGAGCGGCTAGCTACGGTTCACCTTTGACCCGCCGGCTACTCACAAACAGTCTTCTAACGTCTTGAAATACCCTTCAAAAGCTTAATTTCCACGCTCCACACCGTTGCCACCATTTATCATGTGGGATTCGAACACGTGGATAGGGTAAAGTAATACTCACGTAGGCTGGAAGTACGTATAATTACGGATAATGTGGGGAGCGCCCAAACAGCCGTAACCTTGCCTCCTTGCTCACTCTCGTATGACTGACCGCCCACAGTACCCATATGTGAGGGGGTCTTTGTATACTGCTGTGGTCAGCACAATATGAATACAGACAGTGACTCAGGCAGAGACGGTTGGTAGTGAGTCATCTACTGGTACACTGGTTACTGGTAACTGGTTACTACTACTGAGAATAAGACCTCCCTAGCATAGGCCAATAGGCCTACTGCAGTGATTTTTTTTATTTAGGAAAGCAATAGTTTGGCAACAATAGGACTTACCTAGCACTGGCCAGTAGGCCCAAAGTATAAATCAATTTAGAGTGACATTTAAGTAAAAATACAAGTGAGGTTAGGGATGAATTACTGCCAAGTGTTTATTTTATAGTGGATTATCAGGGTCACTGCACACAAGAGAATTTGTGTAAAGCAAAATCACAGTAAGAGCAAACATGTACTTATCATACTTACACAGTAAATAAATAAAAAAAAAAAAAATTAAAGGAGGGCAATTTTATCTGTGTAATAAGATAAAACAAAAATTTAGGACCAGTACTTACTGAGATACAAGACCGCAAAGTTGGCACTGGATGTTCACCTGACAGCAACATGGAGTCCTGCCGCTTGCAGAAATGTTGCCGATGTACTTTTTTTTCGTTTTTATTTTAATTTATATAATTTTTATGTTCTGATAATTACAATTTACAGTAGTTCTTGTGATTTCATAGCCAATCTTTGTTCTGACACTAATATTAGGTACTGAAGTAATACTTAAATAGTCGTGCACACACACTGACAAGTGAACATTTTCACCTGCCTTGGCCATTTATTATTGTCTAGAAATATATACAAAGTATTTATAGGTTCCAGCAATGTTTTAGACATGCTGGAGTATATGAAACTCCTTGAAGCACAGTGTAAGATGAGTGTCACTCTACTGCTGACAGTGCAGCAGTGGAGTGACACTTAATGATCATGCAGTGCTCCAGGGAACCCTGGAGCAGTGCACTGTCTAGCTCTGCCTCTGTGTGTGTGTGTGTGTGCATACGCGCATGTGCATGTGTGTGCGTGCGTGTGTGTGTGCATGTGCGCGTGTGTGTGTGTGCATGTGTGCATGTGTGCGTGTGCATGTGTGCGTGTGCATGTGTGCACGCGTGTGTGTGCATGTGTGTGTGTGCATGGGTGTGTGTGCATGTGTGTGTGTGCATGGGTGTGTGTGCATGTGTGTGTGTGCATGTGTGTGTGTGCATGTGTGTGTGTGCATGTGTGTGTGTGTGTGTGCATGTGTGTGTGTGCATGTGTGTGTGTGTGCATGTGTGTGTGTGTGTGTGTGCATGTGTGTGTGTGTGTGTGTGCATGTGTGTGTGTGTGTGTGCATGTGTGTGTGTGTGCATGTGTTGTGTGTGTGTGCATGTGTGTGTGTGTGTGCATGTGTGTGTGTGTGTTGTGTGTGCGCATTGTGTGTGTGTGTGTGTGCGCATTGTGTGTGTGTGTGTGCACGCATGTGTGTGTGTGTGTGTGTGCATGTGTGTGTGTGTGCATGTGTGTGTGTGTGTGTGCATGTGTGTGTGTGTGTGTGTGTGCATGTGTGTGTGTGTGTGTGTGTGCATGTGTGTGTGTGTGTGTGTGTGCATGTGTGTGTGTGTGTTGCATGTGTGTGTGTGGTGTGTGTGCGCCTTCAGTCTCGGAGTGGCTTATGAACCAACAGATATTACACATGATGCAAAAGTGTCGTGTCCTGATTCCTTATCACGTGAAAAATGCGTATTACTTGCCAGTCATGCTTATTATAATGGCTTATATATACGTACAAGCACAGTATAGCATTTTCTCTGGATTTTCTTTGGGTATCTAGTAATTTACAATATGTATGATAACTGTACTCATGTTGTACCAGTGAGCGAGAGGCATACCAGAGATATAAAGAGAGACAAAGACAGCCAAAATCAGTTGGCGGGCCATCCAGCCAGCTGAGTACGTATTACACGCTTCCAGAATCTTTTCTCTTTACTTAGGGCATAGGTTATAAGACTTCTGCAGGATGACACTACCAGTGGTATAAAAAATGAAAGGATGTGGCAAAAATGTTGCGCATGGGTTATTGTCGAGGTTTTTGATATTTCATCGACCACTTGTGGCCACATCCATCGCAAAGCCACCAAACTCTGGGTCATCACTTTCCTCTTAAAAGGGGAATGTTAAAAGAACATGACATCAATGAACCCCTGGGGTTTCCCATGCTATTTGCTCTAGCTGGCACTCAACTGAACTGGTGCTCCCACAAGCTACTAAGTGGTCCCAGATTTTTTAAATACCGTGCACACCGAGTGTTAAGACCCATTCTATACTGACCCGGCATCTCAGGCCAATCGTCCTAAATTTGGAGGCAGGAAAAGTAAAACATCGATCTACGTTTGGAGCGCTAGCGGTAGTAACGTAGATCTACGATTGTACAGTTTAAGGGTTAAGTTATTCTTGTGTAGGTATGCTCATATATAATAAATAGCATTTAGTTTTAAAAACTTTTCACTAGAATGAAGTCACTATACAGTACTGCAATATCTTAGCTTAATACTTGCTAAAAATGCAGTGAATAAAGATTCACAAGAATATGCAAAAAATATTTTATATACGTATTAAATATATACTGCATACACCTATGAATGATAACTTATTTGAATTAATTATTATTATAACTTGCCTCCACTCTGTTGAATCTTCTTACTCTGAGCTGCAGCATGCCTCTGGTCAGCTAGTGTGGCCACTTCCTGCATACTTTTCAGCTGCTCTGCACTCAGACTGCCTGTCAGTGCTTGATACCATGCTGGAGCATTGCTCTCCAAACCTGACAAAAATTATTCAATTATTTCTTCCATGAAAGCATGCAACAAGTTGAAAACCCTACCTACCTATTTTACTTGTGCTTTGTTTTTTAACCTCACCTATTTCTCTCCCAGGTAAAGTAACCAAAAGTAATAATTGTATTTGTCACTCACTCATGTCTTGCTATAAGGTCACTGTATTTTGCATCTCCAAACTCAACTTTGGCTAACTGGTTACCCCAAATCCTTCAAATAAAACACACAATTGCTAACACTCCAGCTGTATGTCAAATCCACAACACCATTCATTTCCACTCAAGTCTGGTGGATGCCCAAAATCCTACTAAAATCTAACTTCAAAGTCCTCTTTTCAAACACTCTTCATGCACTACATTATTCCTTTTATACTGCTGCATTGTCTAATTTATTCATTCCTTATTCTAAGCATAATATTCAAACTACATATTGATCTTACACATCTCTATTGTCTCCAACCTCCTCAGTCTCCTAGCAGCAACATTCAAGGATCACCGTGTTGGCCTCACTAATTTGATACATCTGATTTTTCGCCTTCATTAATAAAATTCTTTCATAGAAACTTCAACACCACCATAAAAAACAAAATACAAAAATGGTCCTCCCCAAGGAAGCATTCTGCGCCATCTTTAATTGATATATATACCTAGCATTACCCAATACCTATACTTAGATGACATTACCTTTTTAATATCAGGTTCAGATCTGTTGAAAATAAACTCCACAGCAAGAAATAAAGAGTCAAACAGATGATTACCAACAAAACCACCCTCAATATTGAAAAAACATACTATATGCATTTTTTGGAAAGGGTGGGAAGAAAGAGAGAAAGAGAGAGAGAGAGAGAGAAAGAGAGAGAGAGAGAAAGAGAGAGAGAGAGAGAGAGAGAGAGAGAGAGAGAGAGAGAGAGAGAGAGAGAGAGAGAGAGAGAGAGAGAGAGAGAGAGAGAGAGAAAGAGAAAGAGAGAAAGAGAGAGAAAGAGAGAAAGAGAGAGAAGAGAAAGAGAGAAGAGAGAGAGAGAGAGAGAGAGAGAGAGAGAGAGAGAGAAAGAGAAAGAGAGAAAGAGAGAAAGAGAGAAAGAGAGAGAGAGAGAAAGAGAGAGAGAAGAGAGAGAAGAGAGAAAGAGAGAAAAGAGAAAAAGAAAGAGAAAAGAAGAAAGAGAGAAAGAGAAGAAGAGAGAGAAAGAGAGAAAGGAGAAAGAGAGAAGAGAGAAAGAGAGAAAGAGAGAGAAAAGAGAGAAAGAGAGAAAGAGAGAAAGAGAGAAAGAGAGAAAGAGAAAGAGAGAAAGAGAGAAAGAGAGAAAAGAGAGAAAGAGAAGAGAGAAAGAGAGAAAGAGAGAAAGAGAGAAAAGAAAAGAGAAAGAGAAAGAGAGAAAGAGAGGAAAAGAAAAAAGAAAGAGAGAAAAAAGAGAAAAAGGAGAGAAAGAGAGAGAAAGGAGAGAAAAGAGAGAAAGAGAAAGAAGAAAGAGAGAAAGAGAGAAAGAGAAAAGGAAAGAAGAAAAGAGAAAGAAAAAGAGAGAGAGAGAGAGAAGAGAGAGAGAAGAGAGAGAGAGAGAGAGAGAGAGAGAGAGAGAGGAGAGGTTACTCTGCTGCTGATCTGTTGTTAAACCTCTCCACTAAGTGGCACCATCACTGGATGAATCTAAAGTCAGCTGTGTGGTAGCACTGGACATTGCTGGCGCTTTCGACCAGGTGTGGCACCAGGGCCTCTTAGCAAAACTTCAAGCACTGAGATTGCAGGCTCTACGCTATGTCTCTCCTCAGTGACTACCTTCATGGTAGATCTCTAAGTGTAGTTCTCAATGGAACGGAATCAGCAAGACATCCTATTGGGGCAAGTGTTTCCACAAGGAAGCGTGCTGGTCCAATGTTGTGGAATGTCTACTTCAACGAACCTTCTTATATCGTCTCCCAAATCACATTGCCTATGCAGCCGACGGTACACTGACATCACTTATCCAAGAGAAGAAATGCCAGCTGCTTCTAAGCTACATCAATGCACCAGCTGAGATCTATATCAGCCTAGGGGAAATAGATGCAAGTATCATTTGCACCTGAGAAATACGCAAATGATGATCGTCTCTAGGCACCATGATGGTAATGCTGTGCAATAAGGATGATTGTAGGATGTGTGGCACCTGAGAAGAAGTTGACATCCTGGGTGTTAAATATGCTCCAAACTACCATGAAGAACCATGTTTAAATTTGCAAACAAGGCAGTCCAGGAATGCTTACAGCACTTCGCCGTATCTCCCACGGCTTGACAGTATGGGTTGCAGATCCTGTACCAAGGCACAAAGTACCCTCCGCACTTGAGTATTCTCCACTTTCTTGTTTGCCCTGCTCCCCCCCTCTCATCTCGACTGCTTGACAGTAGAGAACAGAGCAAGACGTACTCATCTCTCGCCAGGACCCATCCTGGATAGATATCTGTCATTTCAGCAGAGCCTTCAACCATAGGAGGGATGTGGTGGCCTTACTGTTATGTACAAGGCCAATATTGTTAAAATACCACACATGGATCCACTTCGAGACACCGTGAAACAAGCTTTTTATGCCACAAGACTGGGCAGAAAGCAGCAACATCACTCTGGCTGTACCCTCCTTCCAGAACATCAACTCCATCTGAGATCATACCATACCCAGGATGACTAGAGTATGGAACATTCGAACAGCATTATGAAGTTCAACGAGATAAAGTCAGTTGAGTCAAATGAAAATGGCTGCCCACACTGGCACCAGAAACTTCATCCAGTTTCCTACTTGAAGTCTCATAACAAATAAAAATGCTTTCAAAAGACTGATGTATGTATTAAAGCTCTTAGCTTGCAATAAAGTTAGGAATCCTTAACCTGTAAATAGCTGACAAAACTAGGGAACCTTAAACCTTGTCAAAACCCTGTGTAAAAAAAAAAAAGAAAGAAAGAGAAAGAGAGAGAAAAAGAGAGAGAAAGAGAGAGAAAAAGAAGAAAGAGAGAAGGAGAGAAAGAAGAAGTAGAGAAAGAGAGAAAGAGAAAGAGAAAAGAGAAAAGAGATAAAGAGAAAGATAAGAGAGAAAGAATAAAGAAGAAATAGGAAAGAAGAAAGATAAAGATAGAAAGAGAAGAGAAAGAGCGAGAAAGAGAGAGAAAGAGAGAGAAAGAGAGAAAGAGAAGAAAAGAAAAGAGAAAAAGAGAAAAAGAGAAAGAGAGAGAAAGAGAATGAGAAAGTAGAAAGAAAGGAGAGAAAGAGAGAAGAAGATGAAAGAGGAGAGAGAAAGAGAGAGAAAGAGAGAGATAGAAAGAGAAAGAGAGAAAGAGAGAGAAAGAGAAAGAAAGAAAGAAAAGAGAAAGAGAGAGAAAGAGAGAGAAAAGAGAGAAAGAAAGGAGAAAGAGAGAGACAGAGAGAGAGAAAGAAAGAGAGAGAGAAGGAGAGAGAAAGAAAAGAGAAAAGAAGAAAAGAGAGAGAGAGAAAGAGAGATAGAAAAGAGAAAGAGAGAAAGAGAAAAGAGAGAAAGAGAGAGAGAAAGAGAGAAAGAGAAAGAGAGAGAAGAGAGAAAGAGAGAAAGAGAGAAAGAGAGAGAGAGAAAGAGAGAAAAGAGAGGAGAGAGAGTGAAAGAGAGAGAAAGGAGAGTGAAAGAGAGAGAAGAGAGAAAGAGAGAGAAAGAGAGAGAAAGAGAGAAAGAAGAGAAAGAGAAAAGAGAGAAAGAGAAAGAGAGAGAAAGAGAAAGAGAGAGAAAGAGAGAGAAAGAAAAGAGAGAGAAAGAGAGAGAGAGAGAGAGAAAGAGAAAAGAATAGAAAGAGAGAGAGAGAGAGAAGAGAAGAGAGAAGTAAAGAGAAGAAAGAAGAGAAAGAGAGAGAAAGAGAGAGAGAGAAAGAGAAGAAAGAGAGAGAATGAAAAAGAGAGAGAAAGATAAAGAGAAGAAGAGAAAGAAGAGAGAGAAGAAAGAGAGAGAAAGAGGAAAGAAAGAGAAAGAGAAAGAGAGAGAGAGAGAGAGAAGAAAGAGAAAGAGAAGAAAAGAGAAAGAAAAGAAGAGAAGAGAGAGAAGAGAAAGAGAAAGAGAGAAAAGAAAGAGAGAAAAGAGAGAGAAGAGTAAGAGAGAGAAAAGAGAGAAAGAGAGAGAAAGAGAGAGAAAAAGAGAAAGAGAAAGACAGAGAAATAGAAAGAGAGAAGAGAGAGAGAAAGAGAGAAAAGAGAAAGAGAAGAGAGAGAAAAGAGAAAGAAGAGAGAGAAAGAGAGAAAGAGAGAAAAGAAAGAGAAAGAGAAAGAGAACAGGACAAGCGCCGGGTGTGGGTCGCAGGAGGAGGGGGTTAGTCTTCGTCTTTTTGCTTGTTTGCGCGCTCCCTCGCCCTCGCATCGCCTCCCCAGTCTCACGCGCCCCTCTCCCTCTCCCGCTCTCTCCATCGCTCTCCCTCTCTCTCTCCCCTAGCCCTCTCTCCCCTCGCGAAAGAGCAACAGCGCGCGCGCGCGAGCCATCTCCTCCACGTTTCAAAGCCCACCCATATGCACGCCAGACCCTGGCCACCACCTTAATCTACAACAAGACCACCTTCCACCCCTGGCCCTATTTGACGCAGCCATCCAGTAACCGCCTATGGTTTTGCTTTCGTTGTAAGAGAGCTGCTACGTGCTAACCAAAGCAAGGCGAAGGTAAAAAGAGACTCCTACCCACCTAAAACAGGAACTGCACATAGCAAGCCTGTAGGCATATGGGTGACGATCAAAGTGGGGCCATTGCTAAATGTGATGTGACACTAAAAGAAAGCAATCATCCGGTAGGGTAGGCTACCAAAACCTGGTGGTCCATGTCAATGACATACACGGATATCTGCCTGATGAGCTCATTCCGCCTCTACAATCGACAGGATGGACCACCTCTACCAGTAGTCCAAGAGAAGGCGGACCTCTTTGCTGAACACTTCTACCAAAATGCAAGTACCTGAATCATCAAGGGACCTCTTGGCTAGCTGCAAGAAACTGTGTCAAAACTGTCAGTGGTGACGTAAGGC